GGCGATATGACGATATTAGATCGTGAAGGATTACAACGTGAAGACGATCTTTCAAACTGCAGAGATCATGGGATCGTCTAGGGCACATTCTATAAATTGCAGTTCTATCCTGATGCACCGACGCACCAGACGTATTGACGTCGTCAACCTGACCGACCAATCATAGCGAATTACTGGCAGTGACGCGCTTTCCTACCCGCCTCCTTGTTTGTGTGTGTAGCGGTAGCACATGGAGAGCGATGGCTGAAAGCCAAACGGAGTTGGTCGCTAAAAAAAATTCCACCTCCATTATATGGAATTGGTTTGGATTTTCAGCAACTGATCAAGCGCAAGCAAATGTAATTTGCAAAGTTTGCACAGAAACCGTTCGCACGTTGGGTGGTAACACGACGAACCTGTTTAATCACCTGGAGAGGAAGCACTAAAGCACTAGCACTAGCAACTGTTGCACTAAAAGAGATAACCACAGTCACTTTAGTTTGTATTTTTGCATTTCAATAAGCTTTAGTGTTTAGTGTTTAGTGTTTTGATAAATAAATCCTGTTTAAATGACTGTCAGTAATGTCTTTGATTGATATTTTACTTTCTGTTACTACTTTTGCAAGAGTGCACTTTATTAGGATGTTGTTGTTTACCTTAAACTTTACGTTGTTTGCACATGCAGGCAAAACTGCGACTATTTGAAATAAAATCTGTTAAGAAAGGTTCTTTGGTCTAAATTGTCTGTTTTTCTTTTTCCAATTTAAGATCGTGATAAAATCGAAATCGTGATTTTATTTTTAAAAAATCGTGATATGATATTTTTGCCATATCGCCCACCCCTATGCTCAAATGTTACATATCTGCCTATGTCAAAACATTAAGCTTGAGTATAATTGACCGCTATCCACAATGAGGATCTTTTGCAGTTTGACTGCATCATGGATTCACAGCATCAGTGATCTGAAGTAGAGGAAACCATTCATAAACACAGTACTGGTAAAAATCACTGTCAGCATCAGTTAATGGCCAGTGCCCATGGCTCCTGGAAGCTTTGTTCCAAAAATAATATTAAAGCCCCAGTTTGAGCTTCCAATGAGGAGCTCTGTGTATTGTTTATGGAAAATATCTGCATTGAACCTCCACCTGCATATCTCTCCAACTCCTTTGCCCCCAGTAAACCAGCTCCCACACTTCTGCTGCAGTTTCAGCTCTGGCCGTGCAGCCAGCTCCGTGGACCTGGTGGAACCCCATCTTGTCAGCCTTGTCCAGCATCCAATCATTGCTTGCTTGCCAAGAGGAACTCCAGAAGCCAAGCTTTGGAGTCCGGTTTTGGCAACACCGGAACCATCTTCCTCCAATCGATGATGTCATTCCAATGAGTTTCGATGGTATCACAGTCCCACAGAGTACGCTAGGAAGTGCAGTTCCTGTCCCTACTGGGGTTCATTCTCTCTTCCTGTTGTTGCAATTTCTCCCAATCTAAGAAGCCAAATCCTAGAAGGTATTGTGTTAATCAAGTTTAACTCTAACCCTGGCTAAATTTAATGTGGTTTATGGTGTATTCATAGGGGTTATTTTTAAAGTTTATCCATCCTGTAGAGCCAAGCTGGACACTTATCAAATAATCATTTCTGATTTGGCAGTGACCTATGGAGGAATACTCATTCATGAAAACATCATTCTCTGCAAAAGCTGCCATGTATAACCAGAGGTTCAACCAGAGACTGGACTGCTCAGTAGTCCACCTGGCTCTCATAAGCAAGCATTTCACAGGGTATCAAGCTCTCTCCTCTTTCTCTCACTCAGTCATACTGTGCCCCAAATCTATAGCCATCAGCCAACCATACAAGCCTTTCCCAAGCCCCCAACCTGAAGAGACCCAGCTAATATAGAGACAGGCCTCCAAAATCAGTGTTTCCAAGATGAACCTGCATTGTGAGAAAGGAAAAGAAAAGATAAAGCCATCAACCCTGTTTGACGTCTCTGAGCTGGGGAACTCCCTGAAAAAGCATCCTAACTGCTGTCTGGTGTTTGGCAGTTAAGGACTTCAAGCAGCAACAGCCGCAGTGGTGGCTATGGCGCCCGTATTCCAACACGTTATGCATTAGTGGAAGAAAACTAAGCAACATTTTACTCTAACAACGGCTACTTTACTTCTTCAGGAAACCGAGGTCACTCTGAACATTGCTACAATATGTCTCTTAAAATGGGCCTAGAGCTGCTGATATTTGCTTTACAGGACAATTTAATGTAGAAATGAGGAGTTTGTATTACTCTATCACATGACACGGTCCAGCAATTTCGATTTGCTCCTTCCCATTTTGATGCAAATACTTTTGCATTTGTAACAGACTTACAGAGAGAGTTTCTGAACTGTGGTATTGTTACTTTTACCTGAGTAAATTATCTAAGTACTTCTTCCACATCTGAGAATAACGAATGAAGTTACACCTTACAAAGTTATAAATCTGTCTGTTACTTCAGCACCACGGACAGCGTCATGGTTTCATCAATACACAGCATAGTTAGGTTGAGGGCTGGAGAGGGAGGATGGCAGGTCAACAATAGTTAGGGTTAGGGTTCCTCTATTTGAAGAAAAAAATCAGTCCTGCTTTAGGCTATATCATTTCTAGGCATCACCTTAGATAGCAGCCTGATGCTGACACTCTCATATCCAGGCTTCTTGACCTCTCTGAATCTGGAGAGAGTCTCCATGATATGGTGTACTTGGATGCCAGATGCAGATCTAAGCTCTGGTTCTGGTCTCAAATGGAATTGCATCTTGTTCTTTTATAATGACAATCTAGAATTTTCCTTTGCTATTAAGTTACATACAGATGCAGCTGCTTTTGGTCATTTTTGGTGGTGTCAGTGGTTTGCTGATGTATGTCCAAAAGAATTGTTCACTAACTTCCTCTACTGGTCTTATGGAAATATACCTAATTGTTATTGCCTTGTTGTCTTTTTTGAGAGTAAACACTGCTCAAGAAAACTCGAATTGTCTTTCTCCCAGTTTGAATTTCAGTAATTTCGCCAACTGTACTGCAGACAGCACCATTCAGGCTGACCTTCCCCCATTCAATCAGACTGTACTAGGTTAAACACCACATCACAAAAACCACTATTTTATATGCTCTCTGCTGCCCACTATATGTGAGCTGGTTTAACTAAGTCCACATTAAAGATATATGATTCTGCATGGTCTCACTTCATCTCTTTTTGTGACACCTTCTCTGTAGCTATTATGCCTGTCAGCATCTCCATCATATGTGCCTTTATACTTCACTGTTTTGAATCAGCCATCCTCTATTAAAGGACTTATCGCAGGTGTGCAGTTTCATCTGCACTGTCTGGATCCAGCCAACAACCTGCTTAAAAACCCATCTATTCATCTCTCACTAAATGGCCTTAAGAGAGAGACACCTCAAAGAAATAACATATGTCTTCCTGTCACTTTCACAAATGCTCACATGGTGCTTTATTCACAGTTTTTTATGGGTTCTTCAGGGTTGGCAACTTAACTACATGCATACAATCTTTCAATCTTTCACACGACCTCAGTATATCCAATATAACAATTCACGAACGCTACTGATAGGAAAGGAACTTCAGTTTCAATTTTTGAAGCCAGCTCTGCTTTTTGTTCTCTGTTGTCCACCTAAAAAATCGGACCTGAAGCCAGCCCACAAGAACCTCTCTTTGCCACAAAGGAAGGGGAACTCATGTCCTCAGCTTGGTTTTCCTCTCATCTGCTCATTCTCTCAGCATAGCAGCAGCAACAACTGCATCATCCATAGCTCCCGTCTTAGTGTTCAAGGCTTTGGGCTACTGGTCTTCATCTTAGCAATAGATATTATGTCATAACTGCTTGTACCTTCTTTATGAAATCACTCGCTACCTCAACTAGCTAGATGTAATTGTTGTCTTTTCATATCATTTTAGTCTAATTGGCTTTCCACTTATGCAGTTAGCTTCTCCTGCTGACTATGTTGAAGGTTTGCGAGAAAGACTGGGGATTGAGAGCGTTTGTGTAACTGAGAAATACTGAGAAATGTCAGGGGAGAGAGGTGGAAGGTTTTATTGATGTAGAAACAACTTGGATAAGTCCAGGGCAGAATTTCTCTCCCAGTCCGACCATGTGCCATGTCTCAATCTGGACACTGGGGGATGTGATCATACACAACAAACATGCCAGAGTTAAATCCCCCTCTCAGTTCCATGGATAGCACCATTCAGCCAGACATGCCACACCACTTATCTATAAACTTGCAATAGTGCAAACGTGCCTTCAAAGTCCATTTCTGATTTTATTGTTGTTTGCACTATAGGCTCTTCCATAGTCGGACTGGCCATCAGGAGCACTGGGAGAAATCCCATCCAACCAGTGGTTTAACTTAATCACTTACTCACAAAACTGCCAAAAAATAAAAATGGGGACCTGACCTGTGTAGTCCGCAGATCATCTCTACTACAGGTTACAGGCTCCAGGATAAATTAGCTGCTGCTAACAAGCACAACATACCTGAATCTCTGACTGAGCTTTCAGAAATATTGTTGCATTATGGGTAATGTAGCTGCAAGTTTTTTTACAAGGACATAAAAAGAATGCATGGAATTAAAAAGGTAACATCTCTGGTTCTGCTGCATTGCTTATGATCCTTAATTATAAACTATCCAGTGTGAGTCCAACAATGTTGAAATGCTAAATCAGTGGAGTATTCTTTTAATCTCAATTAAATTTCATTCATTGGGATAGTTGTTTAGCCTATAATCTGACAGGAAATGCATGCCAAATTCCCCAGAGATCAAGGAGACACGTTGAAATGTCTCGCTTCGTCTGATTAACAGTCAAAAACTGGAAAATGTCCCATTTACAATCATATGAATCATCAAAAAAGCAGCAAATCCTCACGTTTGAGAATCATTATTTATCTTCTAAAATTAATTAAAACTGATTCATCGACCAATCATTTCCATCTTTATCACAGCCACGTCATGTCTGCTGTGTTGTCTCTCAGGTGCAGAGGAGCTGTGAAGAAGAAGAAGAAGAGGAAGGAGGAGGTGATGTCCTCACCTCAGCTCTCTGAGACTATGAGCTCTGTGACGGTTTGAGTCCGTCACAACGCCTCGCAGCAGCACCTCCTCAGGCCATCACTGTCCACTCACTGTCATAAAGCAAGAACAACAGTAGGCTGAACTTCCCACCTCGACACCTTGCTCTCCTCCACCTGCTCTGCTCTGGTCCCTGTGCCATGGCCTTTACCCTGTCAGAGATTATGGCAGCAAGGCGGCAGCAGTCGCAGGCTCAGTCACACGCCCAGCGGGGCAGCAGGACGACGGTGGAGGTCGATGAGTACAGCACCAACCCCACTCAGGCCTTTACCTTCTACAACATCAACCAGGGACGCTTCCAGCCACCACACGTCCACATGTGAGTACACATACTGGCAGCAGGGTGGCTAGTTGAAGGAGCATACTGCTGTCATTTACAGTTATGTCACATTTTAGTTTCCTTTGATCATTCTCCTGTACTTTCTCTGTTTTTACCGCTGATTCATTTTTCATTGTTAGTAAGATTGAAACCAGAGGTGACCGTTTAAAGAGTTCAATGTAAAATACACTGAGAAAATAAATATCATTCCCATGTCATTAAATACAGAGCTGGTGACAGGATATGGTTAGGCTAGTTTAACATAAGGACCGGAAGCAGGGAGAAACAGTTGATGTAAATCTATATGTCAATGTCCTTACCTTACTCTCAGAAAGACAGCAAGTAAGGGGGTAAAACATTAAAATATAACCACTGTTGTCAGTTGATGTCGAGTCCCTCCAATCCCTTCCATTCCATCCCTTATGGGTTCATAAGACACCAAAGTATAGTTGCAATGGTCAAACCAACGGGATATTTTACAGTTCAGTCCTAACGAAATATTCTTCCTTCCGTCTCAAACTTCACAAATAAAATCCACTATAAGGCTCATTAAACCTGCCGGTCTGCAGAGGTGGACAAGGTCAATAGCTCGATGACTGGAGTCACAGTATAGATCCTCCTGGTCAGATATTACTCTGATACAAGTGAAAGTTGTTCAGTCACATTTTGACTTGATTTTAAAAATTATTCAAAGAAAAGTATTTTTATGTCAACACATTGTTGAATTGTTTCACATTTACAGAACCTAATTACTCTGAAACAACCTGCTGACTGACTGATTGACTGACTGACTGTAGAACCTGTAGAATAAAAAGCTTATAGAATATAATACAAAGACTGAAGACATGGTCATAAAAACAAGTGAATAAACAAAATGAGCCTTTGTTTTTTTTCTTATTTCTTTCTTTTAGTCAGTGATGAAGTCTGGTTGTGGTAAACTCAGCAAACATTTAAACTAAATTAATCTTTCTTTATTTTCTAAACCTTCAAACACAGACTTCAGATCAGACCATGGTCTCTGGGGAAGAATCTTCTGCCTCATCTTTATTTGACGTTGCATCATTAGGACACTGACAGGTTTAAACATGACTGACAGTGGAGGAGTTGGCTGTGATTGTTTTTTCTCCTGAGATAAACTCAGTGTATGGTCTATCACATTTTTCAAAATAAAAGAAAACTCATTCACTGACTAAAAGCTCTGCTTCAAAGTAGTCCATAGAACTGTAGTGAAGTCAAAAGTACAATATTTGTCTTTAAGTGTAGTGGAGTAAAAGTTTCCAAAAAAAACAAACTCAAGTGAAGAACAGATACTGAAAAATACATTGAAGTACAGTACTCAAGTAAATGTACCTGGTTACTGTCCTCTCCTGCCTGTCTGTACTGCACATAAGGTTCTACACCGAAGTGTTGCTTTATGACGCAGCAGGTTCATCCCTTTTGTTTAGACCAGATATCAACAGACCATTTTACATAAATACATGAGAAACATTTTGCTCCAAATCTCCTGAATCACAAAGTGACCTGACAACAAATCAAACAAATAAAATTTCATCTCATTATCATTAATGAATCCCTCACAGACCTCTCAATAACATGACCTATGAACTCTCAGGATGGGTAATCAACAAGAGAAGAACAAAGCTGTTGTGAATCCATGGATGTTCAGTTGAGACTGAGGCTGATGTTAGAGGCTACAAGTTTTATGTTTATTTTATCCTAATTTAATAGGAAGATGTTTTAATTTACTTAAATAGTTTTGCATAATGTACATTTCCAGAGCACTAATTTCATCAGTACAATAGTCACACCACACAGAAATCCTGTTCTCAGTTATGAAGTCATATAACTTATGCTTTCTACCATCAGTTTCAAACTACTCGTGATGAAACTTCCTGTATATTTCACTTTAAAAGAAAGGTAGTGTGCCCTTTGAGGTGCTGGATGTCTCTTCATATAAACATGTCCCTAAAGAGGGTTTTTCTGACCAGACAATTATCATGTCACAATAAAATGTGCCTAAAATGAATGATGTATTGACTCATCGTTAGGCCTAGACATTCAGCCTGATATCTACACTGTCATGAAATTAATTTCTCTGCTCTAATGAGTTGCACCTGTGTTACCTCCTCCTCCTTGTGTGTATTTAGTCTCGTCACGTGTTTTCTCATGCTCCTGTTTCAGGTTCCTGTCACTCTGACTTTTTATTACTCCACACTGCCGACAGTCAGAGCCAGAGGCATATTGTAACGGGAACACACTGTCTGTGTTGCGTGAGCGTGGCGGCTGACATCACTGACCTGCTGAGGAGAAGCACGCATGTGTGTTTTCACCAGCTGCATCTCTGCTGCTGCAGCTCTATCTCTGTACATAGAGTTTGCAGGTTACTGAAATGTTGGGTTTGTCCTCATTAAAAATTCAGTTCTGATTTATTTTTGACAGAAAACATTGGTAAAATGTAACTGTTTCCACATGCAGCTTCTGAAATGGTTAAGAAATATATTTATACTATGTCTGTGATTCAGATTCAGCCTGGACATAGACAACTATAGTGGAAGGTGTCAGTTTTCTGTCATGTTTGTGCTATGAGTCACTATGACATCAGCAGGTCTTTTCTCTGTCTATTTCTGCTGGGAGACGCATCATGCATGAAAAACAGATGAGAGGTCGAATATCTAGATCATGTGATGCAGATGAAAATTGTTCAGTGCAATTTAAAAACCTTCACGATGGTAAAGCGCTAAGCTTTTGAGTTTTTTTTTGAATGCCATGTCCGTGGCGCCATGGAGAATTTCAATGTTTCGCCATGAAAGTGAACATTGTAACTCTAATATCTAGGAGTCCTGTTCACTGTTCTGTAAGGAGTCACATGGTTCTATTGACCCTTTGAGTCATTAGTAGGCTTTTAATGTGAAAAACCTGTGTTGGTTTCAGTGACAGTAGCTGAATACCAAGTGAAAAAAGTTACTGGAATTAATTTGTAAACAAGTGAATAGTATTTCTCTTGATAGAGAAACAGAGCGGAGACTGTGGATTCTACTGAATCCACCATGCAAATAATATAACTATAGTTTGAGCCTCAGTCAGGATTTATATACTGGATTTTAATTAAGTTATAGGACCCTTATAGGATCTTATAGGATCTTTAACTCACACTGTCGGACTCTCAAAACTGAAGTAAAAGTTTAGCTTGAATTTTATTTGAGTGTATTTTATAGAACAATCTTTTAAGCAGTTGTACTGATGTTCAGAAAGAGAATTTCTCTGTGGGGCTCCATAAAGTGTCACTTTATGTTCCCTTACAGTCCACAGACAACATTTTTCATGAACGCTCTTCTTATTTGATTACTTTTGTGACTCACACTTTTTGCAGACTGTCCTATATGCATGTCTGTCTGCTTTCCCTCTTCCCCTCATCTCTTTCTCTCTCTTGTGGAGGAGGAAGAGGAGGAGGAGGCAGGGCTGGGTGTTATCGTACCTGGAGGAGAGCTTGCTAAACTGGGCCACGGTTATTCACCAGCTCCTCTCTTCCCCCTTGAGACCCTGTGCATCTGCACACTTGCTGGAAGTCCCACAGGATTCTGCTCTTCTTCTATATCTGCACTTTATTCTTTTTCTATCTCTGCACATTTCTCTTTCTTTCTCTTTCAGCGCTGCGCTTTTGTTGTGGCTTCTCACTCTCGCTTCGCACTATGTCTCTTGTTTTCTCCACTATCTCAGTCTGTGGGGATGATTTTTTTGCTCGATACTAATTCAAACTTTTTTCATTGTCAGCCTCCTGCCACAGAGACTTTGCGTGCAGCACTGTGTGTCTTTCTCCAGCAATTTTTTAAGTGCACCAAGAGCTGGAGTGACCCCTTTTCTTTCCTCTGTCCCTCAACTTTCTTTCTCTCTCTTGTTTTACTCTTCTCAGGGTGGACCCGATGCCCCACGACACACCCAAGCCGCCGGGCTACACCCGCTTCGTATGCATCTCAGACACCCACTCCCGCACAGACACCATACAGATGCCATATGGGGACGTGTTCATCCACGCTGGAGACTTCACCGAGCTGGGACTGCCCTCCGAGGTCAAGAAGTTTAACGACTGGCTAGGTCAGCATCTCTGAAAGTTGTGGGTCTGTTGTGATGATCTATGAATACAGGCTGGATTTATCTGCTCTTGGTGCAAAAGTGAACATTTTTAAGAAAAGGGTTGTTTGAAGTTTTCAGGATCTAAGGGCTACAATAAGCTCACATTTAGCTGTTTTCATTATCACCTAAAGGACCGTCCCAGTGTTAGAGCTTCAATTTAAAAATCTCCTTCACTTTTCTGCTGACCACTTTACAAAGCATGCCATATATTTTTTAATTGATTTCCTCCCTCCCTGCACAGATCTAGGTCCTTTCTTCCTTTGTAGTGAGTTCAAGAATCCTCTGAGAACATCTGAAATTTTTGTTCACTTCTGAGTAGCATTCTTTAAAATATACAAAGTGACAGGATATTCTGTCCTATTCAGTTTTCTGACAACAGAAGTCATGAATGCAGCACTTTGTGGCTGCTGATTCGCAAATCTTTGAGGAGTTCCTTGAACATCACAAAGGAGAGTTTTCCACTGAGAACTGCTCTTGCACACAATGATAACCTTGACAAACAAATTATGCTGAGTGAATGTTCATTGTGATGGCGTCTCTGCAGGTTGATTTCCATAGCCAATTGAAATGAATGAATCCCGACAGCTGTCTGTAAAGTAGAAAACAAAAACAGGAACTTTGCTTCGAGATACAAATGGCAGTAATGTAAAGATTGCCTACATACAATTAGTGCAGTATGGTTCTTGACATGAGGTTTGTTTTACACTCCTCTAAATCATAACAGACATGATCTCAAAGCACGTAAATATTACAGAGAAACCTGTGACAATTACTTTTGGAACCATATGCAGACAAAAGACTCAGGTAGAGTGATGAGGGAGTTATTAAAAGTTGTAGAAGGCGGTTGAAGGCTTGAAGAAGGGGGAGGCAGGTTGGTTGTTCAGGGAAGAGGTGAGGTGACAACCAGCTGAAGAAGGTCTTGGAGTGCAGTCTGCCAGATGAGTTGTGGATGCAGCATGAGCAGCAGTGCTTGTCTGGGACAGGAGAGACTTGGTCAGTCTGGAGCACGAGGTTGAATGGTCTGGGGAAGAGTGGATCGTGAGCCACAGGACCCGTCAGAGATGAGTTGATTACCAGTGTTGTGCAAGTTCAAACTTCACAAAAGCTTGTTCAAAGTCCAGTTCAAATGAAATAGTTCACTTTCATTTCTTCTGTTTGTTTAAAAATTCTTTTTCAGTAGAACCTCCTCCTACCATCCATCCAAGCCTCAAATCTCTGCCACTTCTGAAACTAATGAATTACTGTTGACTACTATAGACAGAGATAACTGTAAAAAATATAAGAAAAACAGTATGTTTTATGTGTCTCTGCTGTGAGTCTGCTGTGACTCTTTCTTAATGATTTCTTGTGATCATTATTCACTCAGATATTTCTAAAGATGGTCGGATGCTTCAGCTCGATTCGTTAGTGATGTGTCTGTTAATTCAGATTTTTTCTGTTGGAATCTGAGCTGATTTGTTCATTAAAGTCTTCAAATGTTCATATGAACTAACTTTAGCACCAGAAGCTGAGCTGTTTGTATCACCAGCACTAGACACCACATTGGACACATGCTGGGTGCCGTAAAACCAAAACAGTTCTTCTTCTTCTGTTATTTTTTTTTGGTAGTTGGCTACAGCATCTTGTGTGTGAGCGCCGTTCACTTTCACCTTCACGTTCATTAGGTGCAAACACATACATTCAGTTCATCATTCAACAAAAAATTATCACATACAATGAATGGTACTCATTTAGCACTTTCATGCACAACACTGTTGATTGCAGTCAGGTGTGTAGAGACCATAAACTGTAAATAAAGATGGACGTAGCCTCTGTGACGTCACCCACAGGTTTTTGAAGAGTGGTTTTGAAGCCCTAACTCCCAGTTAATCCAAAAATGGCCAAAGAGGACGGGAACGTGTCGAGCTGAGCTGAACTTCAGCACATGCTAGTTTGTGGCAAGCATACACTCAACCACCTGTCACTCAAAGAGGCCACGCCCTCAATTATACTTACTTTAAGCCTTAATAAAATGTAAACAAGTGAGTTATATAAATGGTTGTCATGATGGAGGAAATTAGCTATAGAGAGCAAAACTGTTTATGTACCAGGCTGTAAACATTTTAATATGGGTGTCTATGGGAATTGACTCACTGGAGCCAGACTCCTGTGGCCATTAGAGGAACTGCAGTTTTTGGTTCTTCAGTGTTGACTTCATTTTTCAGCCTCGGAGGTCGCCGCTTGGTAAAGATGCCAGGAGCCAGGAGATGTAAACCCATGACACAAACACACACAGACAAACAGGGAGGAGGAGACGTAAAATAGGGAAGACGAAGAGAAACAGGGCCAGAGCTGTGACAAAACCCAACAGAAGAAAGAAGAAACCTTCAACAGAACCAGATTCAGAGTGGGGTGGGGGTGGGGTTGCCTCAGCCAGTCAGGTTGATAGGAGAAAAATAGGTGATTATCCATGACCTCGAGTCAAGGAAAAGTGTAAAACCTTCTCTTCGTTGACTGTTTGCTTCACCAGCCCCCACTGGAAGCATCTTATCTCCACCCTGAGTGTAGGTCTTATCACCACTGTATGATATCTGTAATAAACTGGAATGAAGTGACCTCGCACGAAGCAGAGCGACAGCAAAAAGCTGTAGAGTTGGTGAATCTGCAGCTGTTTAAGCGGCTCTGTTATCATTGCCATTATCGTCATTGTTGCCAGCGTCATCATCAACACCGGCACAAACCTCCCTGGCAACGGCAGACGCCTGTTAGCTGGTGCACGTGCCTTTGTGTGTTCATCTCTTTCTCTGAGGGAGGGGAGTGGAGAGCGGTGAGATAAGGGGGGAACTTGTTGTCCTTTCCCTCCACACAAACACACACACACACACACACACACCTACACATATGAGCTGCAGGGAGCGCAGGCTGGAAATCCGCTAGCCTGCACTCCAGCGGCGAGAGAGGCAACGGGAGAGACGAGAAAGAAAAGATAAACCGAGCCAAATGCGCCTGATGCTGCCTCTGAAGTCAGTCTCTCCTCTGCCGTTATTCTCTCCTCCTGCAACTCTGCCATCTCTCCTCTTCCTCCGGTCTGCTCCTATAAATATTTATAATCTGGCTATTCCTATTCTTTCTCTCTCTTTCATTCCCTCCTGCTCCCTGTCTCCAGCACGCACACACACACACACACACACACACACACACACACACACACACACACACACACTCACACATTCACACATCTCATTCTGTAGATGAATGTAACTCCTGCTGTTTGTGTGCAGAGCAAATTTACAGAGATCAGGTTTAGCGTATTCATTTCTTCAGAGTCTCAGTACAAACTGAGCTTCGGTCAGGTAACACCATCTGCTCCCAAACTTTCTGTTCTTTTATCTTCTTCTTTTATTTTGTTTATCTTGTTTGGTTTGTTTCTCTTTTTTATCTCTTTTCTTTCCCTCCTTGTCGTTCTCCCTCCTTGTTGTTGTCCATCCTCTCTCTCTCAGTTCAGATTTTTCTCCACATTCTCCAAAGATCTCCTGTTTCAGTCCTCTCTCTCTCTCTCTCTCTCTCTCTCTCTCGCTCGCTCGCTCTCGCTCGGTGGCAGCTCTGTGCGATTCTCCTCTCAGCTCTTATTTTTAGCAGGAAGTCAGTCAGCTCTCGGGGGCCGCTGGCTGCCGCTCAAGGCTTTGTCAGGGCTGGTGAACGCTGCAGGAGAGGGGGAGAGGAGAGGAAGAGAGGAGAGGACTGAAGAGGCAGGAGATAAAATTCGTGCAGGGAGAGAGGAAGGCAAGGAGATGACAGTGAGAGAGGGGGGAGAGGGTCCAGAGGAAACCTGCCTTACCTGGGTAAACTCACAGCTCAGCCACCCTGGAGACTGACGCCAAACTTCTGCCCTCTGTTGTCATGGCAATCACTGCAGGTCCAGCTGTCAGTCACTGTATTAGGAAAGTATGGATTTTGGTCCCTCCACACTTCATGAAGTTAAGTCTGAGTTTTGTTACTTTTAAGACAACTACAGTTTAACTGAACTGCACTGGCTCAAGTTTTTGCTTCCTGTATTGCTGATACAGTTTGAGAATCGATTGATCAATAGAAATTTGATCAAGTGAAAATGGCGGTCTGGTTCAGCATCATTATAAGTAGAATATTTTCTTAGGTCTTTATAATTAAGTTTCACCTTGGAAAGAAAGTTTCAGCTTCATGATGTGATCTGCAGCAGCCAATGTGAGTGATAACAAGACCAACTCAATTATACAGTAGATACAGGATCAATACAGGACCAACAGCTTGAGCAGCTTTTTAAGATACAACATACCGGAAGGTAAATAAACCGGGAGCTATTGGGAATTTAACTTCTATGGTCCTGTTCAGACCTGTTCAGACCTGCATTAACATGCGTCTTAAGTGATCTGATCACAAGCTGTCAGCTCTAAGTACGTCAGTTCACACCTGTCTTTAAAATGTGTCTCGAGTGACCACTTGTGATCAGATCTAATTTCCTCGCTCTATATTCAAATAAACACGTATGAGTTGTTGTTTTTAACCAGTCAGACAGACGGGTCTGTTGTCAATGTATTTGATAGTGAAGGGGGGCTCTACAATGAACTCAGGTTTCATCCATTTGAAATATTGAAATATTTTGGTTCATTATAAACTGTGTTTGGAGTAATCAGACTATGTCAGAGGATGTCAGTGGAGTAGGCCGTCCTGCAATGTGGTCCAGGGGAGGCCAAGACACCAACATGAATACCTCATCTACCCCAAGTCCCACGTAGACACAGTAACAAATTACTAGTGAATGGTAACGTGTATTTATTTACAAAGTGCTTTTCAAGAGGAGGAGAGTGGATTTCAGCTTCAGGGTGAACAAAGGCCAAAATTACAAACGAAACAAATCTATCTAGAAACAAAACACCAACATAAGCTGCTAAAATATAACAAAACAATTACACCTACCATTACACCAACTAACTTTCCTAACTAAC